CGAGCCCGCGCCATGGAGTGCCAGCAGGAGCCGCAGCCGCAGTACCCGCCGCCGGCCCCCGGCGACGTGGCCTCCTTCGACTACCTGGTGATCGGGGGCGGCTCGGGAGGACTGGCCAGCGCGCGCCGGGCGGCGGAGCTGGGCGCCAGGGCCGCGATAGTGGAGAGCCACAAGCTGGGCGGCACTTGCGTGAGTACCGGGCGGGTGGGGGGGGGTCCCCCGCCACGCCGCCTGCACAGCCCCGCTCTCTCCCTGCCCCCCGGCCCCGCCGCGACCCCCTCCCGCAGCGTGGTGGCTAGCCGCGTGCCCACGCCGCGTGGAAGGTTCTCGAGCCAGAGGGTGGAAGGTGCTTCTCGGGGCCTTCGGCTCGGAGCCCGCGGTCTCGGCGCAGGTGCATTAGTCACGGAAGCCCACGCAAGCAACGCTTGCACCCGCCCCTCCTCCAGGTGGAACACGCAGTCCTCGCTGCATCTGGGGGGACGCAGATCCACGGAGCTGCGTCTGGGAAAACTGCAAGCGGCCTGTGTACCAGGGGCGGGGGGAGCTCGGAGGAAAGGGGGGCCTGGTCCTCTCGCGTCCATTTCAAGGGTAGAGGGACTGAGAGCCGTCGTCCTCAGCTTGGCTGCACATTGTCAGTCGCCACAAGAGTTGAGGGGCAGCGCCTCGGTTCTCCTCCAGGTTTTCCGACTTCCTTGGTCGGAGGTGCAGCCCGGGTTTTGGGAAGCCCAGCAGGTGATCTTGAATTGCAGCCAGTGATGGGAACTGAAGGTTTGTCTTGATAGGTTTACCGTTCTGACTGCTTTGCTTGTTCTAATACTGAAAAGAGAAGGTGGTAAATCCTGAGACTGGAAAACTAGGCATTTTTAAACAGGTTTTGTATCCATGTTAATATTGTGGCCTTTTTCTATCATATGATTTGGGTGAAGTACTGAATGCTGACTATGAAGATACTGAATCCAAGGCTAACCTGGGGTTGGTTGGGGATAGGTTCTGTAAATTCCTTTGAAGACTGATGTTTAAATTACTAAATGGGTCAGGCACAGGTGGCTCACACCTGTAATCCTAGGTATTCAGGAGGCTGAGATCCGAGGATCGCAGTTGGAAGCCAGCACGTGAAGGAAAGTCTGAGACTCTCATCTCCAATCAACCACCAGAAAAATGGAAGTAGCACTGTGGCACAAAATGATAGAGTGCTAGCCTTAAGCGGAAAAAGCTCAGACAGTGCCCAGGCCCAGAGTTCAAGCCCCACGACTGATAAAGTAAAATGGAAGATATACTAAATTGGGAACTCAGGGGCAAGGATAGGTTCCAATGTTTGTGTACCTTGCTCAGTAGCCATTTATGACATGAACTAGAGATGTCTGCTCACTCCATTGTTCAGGGTTCTTTTTTATTTCCTTGAGTTCAAAATGAACATGGGGATGAGGAAAAAGGAAAAATCTATTACTTATTGACTTGTACTTTGACACTTGATTCCAGAAAGACTGGAAGTCTGAAGAAAGTGCCACTCGGCGCACCCTCCTCTCAACGTGTCAACACCGATCACTTTTCTCCTCTGGCCTCTTTAGTTTTCTGTCTTCCTCCTTCCTTTTAATAAAGAAGCAGCAGTCTGTTTCTAGTTCCTGGTGAGCGCAGGAATACTGCTTTTGAGAGCAGGCAAAGGCAACTCAGAGCTGTTCTGCAGCAGCTGCTTTTTATTTCTTTTCTTTTTTTCTTTCCATCTTCAGGATCAAACCCAGGGCCTTGAACATGCTACCTAGGCAGGCACTCTGCCTCTAAGCTACTATCCCCAACACTCCAGCAGCAGCTTTAATTTCCAGCTAAACATTTGAGGAATCCCTAATGACATTACATTGGGGCTTTTGCTTCTGAATTACAAGGAAGAGTATAGATTTGTATCAAATTTTAGAGAAGATGTAATCAATGGGTAGATGTGTGTTTAGCTTTTGGATTGCAGTTACCTCCTAGCTACTGAGGAGTCAGTTAGGAGGATCAAAGTACAAAGCCAGCCTGGGCAAAATGAGCTTACAGTCCTATCTGAAAAACAAACCAGTAAGTAAAAGGGCTGTGGCTCAAATGGTAAAGCACTTCCTTTAGAGTGCAGCCCCCACTTATGTTGTTCCCATTCTGTAGTTACAATAATGAACTTTGTGTGTGCATGAGTGTGTGCGCACCCTCACCAGATACGGGGCTTGAATTCAGGGCCTGGGTGCTGTCCATTAGCTATTTCATTCAAGGCTGATATTGTAACACTTGAACCACAGCTCCACTTCCTGCTTTTTGCTGATTAATTAGAGATGATAGTCTCACAGACTTTCCTCCTCCAGCTGACTTCAAACCTTGATCCTCAGATCTAAGTTTCCTGAGTATCTAGAATTACAGATGTGAGCCACTGGTGCTTGGTCTGTAATAATGGACTTCTTGTTCAGTTATTTCCGAGTATGTATGTAAAATTGAGGCCTTTTGAGCTCCATCACTTTATTCGTTCATATATTCAGGTCTAATATTGCATCAGTGACAAAGTAATACAAATAATGTAAAACAGAAGTCTCTTCCTTCAGTGAATTTACAATATCTTGGACCAAACATAGACCATGAATCCCAAAGTGAGGTACTTAAGCATAATCTTTGAAGATAATAACTAATTAAAATAGTTGAGAGAAGAGATGGAATTCTCCCTTCCACCTGGGTATCAGGGGAAGAGTTCTGGAATGAGAATATCTTTTTGAGCTATCTTTTAGAAGATGAATTATTTTTGGATATATATATATATATGTATGTGTGTGTATATATATATATATATATATATATATTAAATTAGAGCAGAGTGTCCCTTACTCTATAGAGATAGGAGACAGATGGGTAGGTTGTGGTTTAAAAATGGATTTCCTGGGCTGGGAATGTGGCTCTGTGATAGAGTTCCTAGCATGCATGAAACCCCAGGTTCAATTCCTCAGACCACATATACAGAAAAAAGCCGAAAGTGGCACTATCTCTCAAGTGGTAGAGCACTAGCTATAAGCCCATAGAGGCTCAGGGACAGAGCCAGGCCCTGAGTTCATGATACAACAAAAGTGAGCTTATAGCCAGGCTCCGGTGGCCCACAAGTATGTAATCCTAACTACTGAGGGAGCTGAGAGCTGAGGACTGCAGTTGGAAGCCAGCCCAGACAAGAAAGTCCATAAAACTCTCATCTTTAACCACCAAAAAGCCAGAAGTAGAGCTATGGATCAGGCGATAGAATGCCAGTCTTGAGTGAAGCTCAGGGACAGGACAGTGCGCGGGCCCCAAGTTCAAGCCCAGTTACCCGTACCCCCGTCTCCCAGAATTGCTATCTTACGAATGATACTATTGAGAGATATCCCCTGGGAAGGCCAGATAGAAGTCAGAGTAGCTCTCACTGTAATCTCAGCACTCTAATCCCAAACCAAAGCAGAATTTCTAGTTCAAAGCCACTCTGAGGTACATAAATAGTTTGTCTCAAAAACAGAAAGAGAGAATCTCAAGCTAGTTCTTTCCTAAGTAAAATGTATTACTATATCTTGTTTATTGCAGTGCTTGGGGGGCGGGGGCAGAATCCAGGGCTTTGTACATGCTAGGCAAGAGCTTTACCACTGAGCTCCACCTTCAGCCCTAAAACATCTTGCCAATTGCTATGAACTCTCATAGGAAGTTCAAATGAGGCTTCCCTTCACAGTGGCCATTTTCGGGTAGTGTGTGTGTGTGTGTAGTTTTTCTTCATTCATGTTACTAAACATTTTCTGTGTGCCAGCTGAGTTTTTTAGATGCTAAAATTGTAGCGACAAGTAGAACAGATATTTCTGTCCTCAGAATAGTGCATTTCAATGTCCCAGGGCTGAAAAAAAGCAAAATAACAACAGAAAGAATGATTAGACTTTGCTGGGCACTGGTAGCTCATGCCTATAATCCTAGCTACTCAGGAGGATAAAGACCTTAGAGGATCTCAATTTAAAGTCAGCCCAGGCAGAGAAGTTTATAAGATTTCATCTCCATTAACTAGCATACTGGAAGTGTGACCCCCCAAAAGTGAGAGTAATAACATAAGCTTGGCCACTTTAAGCCCCAGGACTGGCACTAAAAAAATAAAAAGGCATTGAGGCCCAGCACCAGTAGCTCACACCTGTAATCCTAGCTACTAATGAGCTCTCAGGATTGAGGTTCAAAGCTAGCCCAGGCAGAAAAGTTTCTGAGACTATCTCCAATTAATCACCAGAGAGCCGAAAGTGAAGTTGTGGCTCAAGTGCCAGCTTTGAACACAAAAGCTTAGGGACAACACCCAAGCCCTGAGATCAAGTCCCAGTACTGTAACATACACACATACACCTCTTTTCCCTTAGAATTTCATTAAAGGGCTGGGAAGATGGCTCAGTGGTAGTGTGCTTGCCTTGCATGCATGAGGCCCTGGGTTCGATTCCTCAGCACCACATAAGCAGGAAAAGCCGGAAATGAGGCTGAGGCTGGAGTGGTAGAATGCTAGCCTTGAGCTGAAGAGCTGAGGGACAGCGCCCAGCCCCAGAGTTCAGGCCCCACGACTGGCAATAACAACAAAAAAAAGAATTTCATTAAAAATAATCCCTTGTCTTCTGAAACTAATCTTTTTTGAGGGGGGGGGGGAGGTCAGTTGTGGGTCAGTCTGTGTGAGGTCAGTCTGTGTGCAGTCCCTGAGCTCTTTTGCTCAAGGCTAGCTCTGTGCCACTATAAACCACAGCTTCACTTCTAGTTTTTGAGTGGTTATTTGGAGATGAGTTTCACTGGGACTGTTCTGCTTTGGCTGGCTTTGAACTACCAGCCTCAGATCTCAGCCTCCGGAGTATCTAGGCGTGAGCTACTGGTGCCCAGCTGAAACTAAATTATTTTTGAGGCTGGAAAAATATATAAAATGTTCCAGTTTAGTCATGGAAAGCTTCCCCAATGCAAAAATCCAGTGTTTTCCTCATTATCCTATGTAGGCTAAAGAACAATGCAAAGCTTGCTCAAAGCCAAAGTGAATTAGAGCTTCTTGTATGTTGCTCATTTTTCTGCCCATGCAGACCTTGGAAAAAATCAGCTTGTGGAAAAGTTGGCTTTGAGTTGCTGCTCCTTTGCCTCAGGGCCTGCAGCAGCACTTGCTTCCCTGTTCTTGCTGACCATGGGCAGGAGGGATGGTTCCCAAAGTGTTCAGTAGTCCTTGCCAATGAGTTGGGGGAATGGTCAATTGAGTGGCACAGACTTGATCACAACGTCAGTATGACTTGTGTTGCACAATTCTAGCTCGAGGAACCTACATGATGGGCTTGAGAAATGAGTTACTCTGTGGATTATGCTTCATAGAATTTGCAAATAATTAGCAACATGCAAATCATAGCCCAACTTGGCAGTGATAGTGTGTACTTTGATATTGTGACATCTGTATCCTGATAACACTTGAATGTGCATTTATTTCTAAATGCAGCTTACTAAAAGGAACTTAATTTAGAGAGCCCTGTCATTAGTTCCTTCAGTAATGACAGATGTCCCTTAAGAAAAAACCAACTCTGATTTCTTTCTGAGGATTTGGAATTTCATAAAATAGGGCCAGCTATATTCATATGTGCCAAATAAAGGAGTGATCGTAAAGGGCAGGGCTTGTTGGTAGTAGGCAACTTCTGTTATTGAACTTTGGCTCATTGACTTTGTTTAGGATCTTAGTACAATATTGCTTTGCAGTCTGCCTCAGAAACTACTATGAATCTTCAGGGCCAGGAAAAGAACTGAAACCCTTAGAGTTTCTTTTTGTTGGAAGAAATTGTAAAGGTCTAGGGATGTGGCTCAAGTGGTGGAGGACTCACCTAGAAGAATTTGCAAAACGCAGTAGCACACTGCTTTGTTAACAGCAATTGAAGAACTGATATGGAAATACTTACAGGGGAATACTAATAAACATTGGCATTCGGATGTTGATTTCCAGTCACAATTACAGGCCTTTAGCCAATGGCCATTGGCCACTGGATATTACAACCTTAAACATTAAATGGAATGTGAAATCCCACATCCTTTAGTTTCTGTAGGAGAGGAGTAGGGACAGGAGATAGCAGGCCAGATATCACTGCAGTAGGCATCAGACATTCTCAGAGAGGTTGGGCTAACAGAGCTGTTTTTTTGGATCTCCCAGAGTAATAATTCTGTTTTGTTTTGTTTTTTTTTTTGCTTGTTTGTTTTTTTTGGGTCTGGTCCTGGGGCCTGGGCGCTGTCCCTCAGCTCTTCAGCTCAAGGCTAGCGCTCTACCACTGGAGCCACAGCGCCACTTCGGCTTTTTTCTTTTTGCTTATGTGGTGCTGAGGAATCGAACCCAGGGCCTCATGCATACAAGGCAAGTGCTCTACCACTGAGCCACCTTCCCAGCCCCCAGAGTAATAATTCTTTAAGTCTGAATGATTCCTGGGACTGAAAAGTTGAAATTAATCTGATGTTTTGTTTAGCTAAATATTCAGCAAAAACCAATTTCATTAGTATCTGTTTGCAATGGTTCGGATTTTTTTCTTGCTTTAGTTTCTGCTTTGCACAGAATACTTCCTTTCATTGTTCTTCTTTTCCTTCCTCCTTCCTTCTGGAGCTTGATACCTTCTGAACTAACCTTTACCCGAGATGAAAAGAGTTTGTAGATGAAGTCTTGGATATTGAATATTTAATATGGACTACTTGATGCCCAAACAACATCTAATATTAATTACTCTTGGCATAAAGCAGATGACATGCTACAAAGACCCAGGATCTTTATTTGTTCTGGTCACCAGTATTTTCCAAGCCCTTAGAACAATTTCTTGCACAAAGTATGGAACCAGTATGAATGCATACATACATACATAAACACATGTATGCATATTTATATACATATATTAAAAGAACGAGTTGGTGAATTCATATATATCTGAATACATGGATATATGTGTTTACCTACATTTGAGTTGATAAATTCATAATGCCTTGTTCTTTCTTTCTCTCTCTCTCTCTTTTTTTTTTTTTTGCCAGTCCTGGGCTTGAACTTAGAGCCTGGGCACTGACCTGAGCATTTTTCTGCTCAAGGCTAGCACTCTACCACTTGAGCCACAGTGCCACTTCTGGCTTTTTCTTTGTATGTGGTACTGAGGAATCAAATCCAGGGCTTCATGCGTGCTAGGCAAGCACTCTACCACTAAGCCACATTCCTAGCCCCAATGCTTTGTTCTCTAAGAGATGGCTAGCTGTGTGTGTGTGTGTGTGTGTGTGTGTGTGTGTGTCTGTGTGTGTGTGTCTGTGTGTCTGTGTGTGTGTGTCTGTGTGTCTGTGTGTGTGTGTCTGTGTGGCCTGGCACTCATTTTTAGGGTATAAAAAGGAAGTCAGAAGAAACTGTAGGCAACTATAGTAGGAGGATGGACTGGAGAAAACAGGAAGGAAATTCTGTTACTAAAGCACAGATTACATGATCAGCAGGTACAGTTGCGAAAGAATAAAGTTTCTTTTTTCCCCCAGTACTATCTATGCAAAATGATTCCCTCAGAATTGAAAGATAAAGGGCCAGCCTTGGAAAAATTGTGAAGACTCCAGTTTCACCCACTTCACATGTTCTGCCTTTGCTTCAGGAGTTCTCTGCCCTTACTGTGAGCCAGTGCTGGCAGGACCACTAAGTAGAAGCATTTATAACACCAATGCCCTCAGACAGGATCATTAGTGTAGAAAGGGGGATTGAGACCGGGCCTAGTGGTTTACACCTATAATCATAACTACTTCAGGAGGTGGAGATTGAGAGGATTGTGGTTTGAGGCAGCTCAGGAAAAAAGCTTTCAAGACCCCATTTCAACCAATAAAAAAAGCTGGACATGCTGACGTGTGCCTGTCATTCTGGCTAGATAGGAAGTGTAAATAAGAGGATCACCATCCAGTCTGGCATGGGCAGAAAGTTAGAACCGGCTTGAAAAATGATTAAAGCTAAAGGTCTAGATGAATAACTCAAGTGGTAGAATGCCTGCCTGGCAGGAGAGAGACTGAGTACAAGGAATTTGGCTGTTACTGGTTAATGCTCACCTGAAGGCTGGAGTTTCTGTGTCAGAATTTGCCAGGTAGAAAGTACCTTTCAACAATGCCCAACAAACAATGTACTCATTACCTTGTTGATGTAGCTATAACCTTCTATATAACATCTTTACAAGAAAAAAAAAGTATCTTTTACCTGGGGTTTCCTAGCTATGTGCACCTCTGGGAAGCCAGGGCCCTGAAAACCTAGTACAGAGCCTGGGAGGCAAGTATTCTTGGTCCTCAGTTGATCTGTGTTTCAGATAAGCTGCCTGGGGAATTTATCTCCTCTCTTCCCACACAGGTAGCCAGGGACTGCAGATGCAATTCTGAGGTATCAATTAAAACACTGTCTTGCACATGGTAGGAACCCAGGATACACACACATACACACACACACACACACACACATACACACATATTTATGTGCTTATGTATACTAAAAGAGTAAGTTGATGAATTCTTATATGCATATGTATACTCATATATAAATGCATATATATGTGAATGATAAATTCAAAATCAGCACTGTTTATAAATGATCGCTAATCTTCTCAAAATCTCCTATTCCACCATATGTAGTGGGAAACCACTCAGAATTAGAAATTTAGCCACTTACAGCCATTGAGTGGGAGAGCCTAGAGCCAGACTGGTGGACGCAAGATCCTTGTCTGCGAACCTCAGGCACACATTAGCTAGGGGGAAGAAGAAGCTACCAGAGGAAGGAATGAGCATAGCTTTCTACCCCTGTTTCCTCAGCTTGGAAGGTAATTACATATGAATTCATCCCTTCCAACGTGCTGGGAACTTGGTTTTTAAAACTGTCAGACTCCCCTGATGGCCTATTTCTAAGAGCTGCCTAAATGGGTCAAGTGATATTTTGGTGTTACTGCTTTTCTTTTTTCTGTGTCTGTGTGAGCCCTTTCCTCGGGCTTGAACTTGGGCCAGGGTGCTGTCCATGAGATTCTTTTTGCTTAAGGCAAGCACTCTACTACTGCTTGTCCAGGCTGGCTTCAAACTGTGATCCTCAGATCTCAGCCTCCTGAGTAGCCAGGATTACCGGTGTGAGCCATTAGTGCCCAGCGTCACAGCCTTTCTTTAAACCATGTCCCCAGGCCCTGAGGTGCATGGCATTTTCTGACATCCCCAACCCTACCTAGGTCCCAGTTTTCACCACCCTCTCTGTCTGACTCTAGATGAGTGCTCTGGGATTTTAGAGGCTGCAGTGATACTTGTCATTGCCCCTTTAAATGGTACCTTGGTTAAGCTCCACCTCCCTGGCTAGAAGGAGGCTTCAGGAGAGCCTGGATTATATAGTGCTTTACCTTGCATAATGCTAGGCACAAATGGCTGCTTAAGCCATTCTTCAGAACAAAGGAATGACTCCCAAGTTAATAAAACAGAGACAAGAAAAAAGAATTAGGAGCCCAAAAGGCAGAAACTTCCAAAAACGAAACCAGAATTTGTCATCTACTGACTCTAGTATAAGTCAGGCTACATTGAAACTGATTCCAAGCTTTAAAAAAAAAATTGTCTTAAATAAGTTAAAAACAATTTCAGGTGCTGGGAAGGTGGCTCAGTGGTAGAGTGCTTGCCTTGCATTCATGAGCCCCTGGGTTTGATTCCTTAGCACCACATAAGCTGAAAAGGCCAGAAGTGGTACTGTGGCTCAAGTGGTAGAGCACTCGCCTTGAGCTCAAGAGCTGAGGGACAGCGCCCAGGCCCAGAGTTCAGGCCCACGACCAACAATCAGTCAATCAATCAGTCAATAAAAATAATTTCAGATACATGTGAGGAGTGAGTTGGTGATAGGGGAGAGTGGTTCAGAACATTATAGTGCTTTGTGACTTTTTGAGGTGCTTTCAGAGGCTCCTGGGAACTTAGAAAGGGTGACAGGAGGATGAGTAGATACATTTTAATACTGGGGCTTCAGCTCTAGGCCTGTCACTCCTGTTTGGCTTTTTGGCTCTTGGCAGACACTCTACCACTTACTTGAGCCCTGTCTCCAGAACTGGCTAATTTGTCATTAAGTAATTTTATTGTATAGACATTGCAGAGTATATTTACCCAAACTAAGATGGGTACAATATCACTAGAAGATTCTTTTTAATTTTATTTATTTATTTTGTGTGCCAGAATTGGGGCTTGAACTGGTTTGGGAGCTATCCTTGTGCTTTTTTGCTCACAGCTAATGCTCTACCCCTTTGGTTACTGCTCCATGTAGCTTGTGTGTGTGTGTGTGTGTGTGTGTGTGTGTATATGATTAATTGGCAACATGAATCTCGCAGACTTAATGTCCATGCTGGCTTCAAACCACTATCCTCAGATCTCAGCCTCCAAAGTAACTAAGACTACTCATGCTAAGGCATAAGCCACCAGCAACCAGCCTCATTGGCTTTTAAGAGTATAATGTGTATTTGGGTTTTCTCAAATTTCTTTACTAACTCAGCATCCTAGTCCCATGACACATAATTTATACTTTTGTAATTCTGATGAGTTTCCATTAATATATAAATACTGTCACACTGTTGTGACAATAGATAGTGAATGAACAGGCTGGATATGTAAGTTAGGTACAGTTGATAACCTTGTTTGCCTATGTCTGAGCAGAGCCTTTCATTGTAGTGGACCCATCACCAGTGCTTCCTAGGCGTAAGATAAAGGAAAATCTAACTTACACATCAAATTACATCTAGACAGCTAGGGGATCTATAAATTCCCCTTCAAAAAAAGTGAGGAAGTAGTGCTGTGGCTCAAGTGGTAAAGCTTAGCCTTGAGCCAAAGAAACTCAGGGACAGTACCCAGGCCCTGAGTTCTAGCATCGACACTGGCTAAAAATAAATTTAGCCTGGTGCTGATGGCTCATGCCTGTAATCCTAGCTACTCAAGAGTCTGGGATCTAAGGATCAAGGTTGGAAGCCAGCCCATGCAGGAAAGTCTGTGAGGCTCTTTTTGTTGTTGTTGATCATGGGGCTTGAACTCTGGGACCAGGCACTGTCCCTCAGCTCTTCAGCTCAAGGCTAGCGCTCTACCACTTGAGCCACAGCACAATTTCAGGTTTTCTGATGGTTTATTGGAGATAAGAGTCTCATGTACTTTCCTTCCCAGGCTGGCTTTGAACTGCAATCCTCAGATCTCAATCTCCTGAGTAGCTAGCAAGGATTACAGGTGTGAGCCACCAGTGCCCGGCCTGTGAGGCTCTTATCTACAGTTAACCAGAAAAGGCCAGAAGTGGAACTGTGGTTCAAGTGGTGGAGTGCTAGCCTTGAGCACAAAAGATCAGGGACAAGATCTAAGCCCAGAGTTCAAACCTAGGACCAGCAAAAAAAAAAAAAGTGAGATCAATCTAATTTTCCTTATGCAAACAGTTGCTCCCTTAGGGTAGGGTAAAGCTAAGGGAGCAGCTTAACCTGTTTAGTGAAGTCCAGATATATTACTCACATTGGAAGCCTTGTAATCAAGACTTCCTGCTTCATGTAGTTTCTGAAGGGGAAAAAAGACACAAAAGAAGGAAATGATGGAAATAAAAATAAAAGAAGTGCACAAAAATGTGCAGATTGTAGGGGCTGGGAAGGTGGTAGAGTGCTTCCTTGCGTGCATGAGGCCCAGGGTTCGATTCCTCAGCACCACATAAGCAGAAAAAGCCGGAATTGGTGCTATGGCTCAAGTGGTAGAGCACTAGCCTTGAGCTGAAGAGCTGAGGGACAGCGCCCAGGCCCAGAGTTCAGGCCCCACCCCCCAAAAAAAGTTAAGATTGGATCCTGTAGTTTATAAAGACATCCTTTTGAGGAATTCTGTGCTCTCTTGCCATATAAACGTTTTCCTAAATATCTGGTAGACTTCTAAAATTTTATAACTGTTTTCTATTGTGTACCAGTTGCTAGAAGGCCAAGAGGCAAATTTTTGGTCCATATGAAGCTCATAGAAGGATGAGTATTGATGCTTGGGACTGGAGGAATAACAGATTTTCACTGTTAATGACCATCCCACACAATTTTTTTTTTTGGGTCCGGTCGTGGGGACTGAACTCTGGGTCTGGGCACTGTCCCTCAACTCTTCAGCTCAAGGCTAGCACTCTACCACTTGAACCACAGCGCCACTTCCGGCTTTTTTCTTTTTGCTTATGTGGTGCTGAGGAATTGAACCCAGGGCCCCATGTTTGCAAGGCAAGTGCTCTACCACTGAGCCACCTTCCCAGCCCTCTCACAACTTTTCTTGAGCAAATGGTGGTAAGTAAAACTTTTCTATGTCACCATGGAAAATAATGTTCTTTTCCAATTCTGTGATGAAAGAATCAGACTATAACTATAGAATCCAGTTCATTGTGATTTTAAACTTATTGATGTTTGGGATTTATTTATGCAAATGTGTTC